CGTCCTTAAAGGAACTGCATTGTACAAAGGTGTATTGGCAGAAATTGGAAAAGTTAGGCTTTGGGACTACAATCCCACAATTCCTTCAGCCACTACCATTCATGACCACGCTTCCAACGTACGAGGGCACTGGAAATTGTTCAAATACTCCAAGTAATTTTGCCAGACTTTTGAATAATCTTGCCTTTACTAACCACCTAAAAAAAGAAAGGTGCATCCCTCTACTAAAATCTATTAAACTTGCAGAAAGCTAATAGAGTGTTTTTCAGGCTAGTTTATTTTTGGTGGGCGTCTTTATGTGGATGGCATGTAGTAATATAGCAAGTTCAATTACAAATCAAACTTAAATGATCACAATTTCAAGAAATCAGCTTTAAACATTGGTATAAAGTATAGATGGTTTCAGTTTTCAACTTTTTTCTGAATCTTCTCTGACAAGCTATTAAGCTGATTTCTTTCACATTTTTTAAATAACCACTTTCTCTTTAAAGGTATCACAGTATTTTTCCACTTTCTTGTTAGTATCAATCTAGAATGTTTTCATTTTGATTCTATTTGTCACAATAAAAGCAATGATATGTGAACAGTACTGAATCAGTCGAATGCCCAGCTTTAGGAATAACTTGTTGCCATTTTCCCAAAACTTCCAAAACTTCTAAAACATGAAAATGCATCCTCTTTCCCTAAGAACAATGCCAAGGATCAGATCTCTGTTTTCCCTACAGCAGAACCCGACTCCTTGCAAACATATGACTCCAAAATCGCACTCCTTTCTCTTCCCATTAGAAAAGGAGCAAGTGACAAGACTGTGTTCCATTGCAGATCTGCCACTCCCAATGGTACACCACCTCTCTCTCCTTCCCATGGAGAAGAGTGGCGGGTGGGCCAGACTCCTCTGGTCTCCCACAATTTTGGAATATTAAAGTCTCTTATATAGCAATATTTCTTGCTGGTGTTGTTCCAAAATTGTAAATGAATGACATGATTTCCCAGCCTGAATCATCCTGGCTTCATCTCAGTTCCTGACAGATGCGGACTCTCCTTAATTAGTGTTGGTAAATGTAAGGAGCCTTGTGTTGATTTCCATAGTTGAGCCATAGTCTCTGATAATGTAAACATATTGTTTTCCCCCAAAAGTTCAACAAGCCAGCAGAGTCAGCAGTTAATCGTTTGTCACTGGTCATCAATGTCAGCAACTTTTAATTACAGTTCATGAATTCTTCAATTCTTTTTTGTAGTTTTCCAGGCCTCATCTTAGGAGGCATCTATAGACTATATAGACCCCAACCATACATGTTTCATACAATTCCATTCAAGTCATGCATCATATTTCATGACACACTGTTGCTGGGAAAATCCATCCATGACAAGGCTCAAAGGAAAAAGGAAAGGTCAAAGAGGGTGGTAGCTAATATTATTCCTTTCAATCAAAAAGTCCAGAAGGCGTCAACCTTGCAAACTCTAGTTCTTCTACACCCCCTTCTTTCCATTCACAGCGCTACTGATCTCATCACAGAAACTTCAGGAAGAACAAGCGTGCCCAAACAAATGGTGTAGTAAAGCTAGTGCTTTTCGGATACAGGACCAGTTGTCTTTGCCGCAAAGTGCAAGCACAGAGATATCCATTGTATCAGACAGAATGTCATCATAATGTGCTGTGTTTACAATACATGATTAAAGCCTTTAGGCATCTTCCAAAAATAAAGGGCAACATGTCTCCAGACCCTTTCATCATCCAGTGTGTGCTGTTTCACTTCTGCTTTGTCGCATCAACGCTGCACTTTCATCTTGTACTATAGGTCTTCCCAGGAATCTCCATTATAATTTTGAATTTCAGGAGGTGGGACAGGATTTTATACATCTCATTTTACCAGCCAATCTGGCAAACTCTATGCACTTTGTTGTTCCAGCCACAAAATGAAACAGCATAAAGCTGCACACAGCTTTAAACTTGTAGCTTCTGTTCTGATGGATATACAATTCCCAATGTCAAGATGACAATAATATCAAATTAAAACCAAGGCTTGTAGAAAGTTTCTTTACACTTCCAAAAATGCAAAGAACCGAATGAGAACTAAGCATACTCAAGGACCATAAAAATGTTGCTCAGCTTTTAAAAGATGAATGCAAAATGGAATCCTGAAAGGTGTGTCTGCCTCACGTTTTGAATGTACGACTCACAGCAAGATTTCATTGTAGGTTTTAGTTCTTATTGCCCATTAACTGTAATGATATAAATATTAAAGATTGCACTTAGCTTGAAAAGTAGTAGACTGGTTGTTGTTCAGTGCCTTCAAGCTGACTCTGGCTTATGGAGACCCTATCATAGGGTTTTCTTGGCAAATATTTACTTAAGAGACTCCAAACTCCCCATAAGGCAGTCTAGTACACTCTGAAACAGTTCTTACAGTACAGCAATTCTTCATAATGTTTAAGTGGAATCTCTTGTCTTGTAATTTGCACCTCCTGTTTCACCAGAAAACAGTCTCGCTCCATCTTCTATAGGGATTTGAATCCGGACACTCAAACCCAATGACAATAACACATTACAGAAAAATCCCAACCCAAAGAGCAACACACACACACACTGAAATTTTAATTTATTCCAAAAGAGAGACTTTAACTTGTGATTATTTGAAGGAGGAGGAGGGGGGAAACTGCTATAGGAGGAGGTGGGGGGAAGAATGCTATAAAGATTAATTTTCAAAGAAAAGAAAAGAGCCCAATAACTAAAAAGGGAAAAAAAATTACACATTTTAGACAGATTAATTCCTACCAAGCATGACATCACCATTGCATATATTAATTTCTATTCCATTTCTCAACTATCGCAATTCCCTGGTTAACACCATTTCATCTGTGCATTATATCAACTGATTTATTTCTCTTTGCCAAGCAGTTCAATAACCATTCTCATTTTCTTATTACCAGGGGTTGTGAATATTTTCATTCAGGAGCCTACATCATTTGTGCTTAAATCAATCCATTCATAATTAATGGCTAGATGACATTTCTGATTTCTTCTTCTAATCTAGCTAATTTAAGATTGATAGTGGGCTTGTTCCTAAAGCTATTTCCTCTTCTTCCCAATACATTCTATTTATTATTGGCCTTAAATAACTGACCTGAAGCACCAATACAGTTGCAAGGGATATCTGCCACTGAACTCCTGAGGGCTGAACCTGGCATATTCAGGGACCCCTGCTAAGATGTTGTCTATAGGGAAAGAACGGCTGCTTAGTGACAGAATACATGCTTTGCACGCATAAAGTCAGTATTTCCAATTAGAAAGAAAAGACAAAGAAGGGGAGAGGTAGAAGCCCTGGGGAGTGTTGTCAGGCAGTGGAGAAAATATTTGGTGAGACGGAAAAATAGTTTTCTTTGGGATAAGTTATTTTCTTTCATATTGCTGTTTCTGGAAGGAAGAGATATTTATAGGGCAAGCAACAATCTCTCAGTCACTACATATACAGGCAGCCCCCAAGCTACAAACAACAACAACAACAACAAAAACAGTATTTAAAACTCACCCTATCTCCCCTAGGGAACTGTAGAGAGGTTATGTAGAATAGAATAGAATAGAATAGAATAGAATAGAATAGAATAGAATAGAACAAAATAGCTTTATTGTCATTGTCCACTGCACAATGAAATTAAATGCTTTCCCCAGCACACATCACAAAACAACACACCAATCCTTCCACATTCTAATCACTATTGCTACAGCAATGCGAAGCCATGGAGTTCAATACAGTTACAACTCTAGGACAAAACCTCTCACTCTCAGCCTTTACCTTTGTCACCCAGTACCTGCCAAAAAGAATACACTGGGTGAGCTGAGTCCCCAAGAATGCTCTGAGCTTTCCTAAGGCTTTCTGTAGGATTGCTCTTAAGTTGAGTTTGTATGTAGGTCAGAACATATACATTTTAAATGCAACTCCAGCTATTTATTTATTTTGTATTGTCAAAGGCTTTTTATTTATTTATTTATTTGTTTGTTTGTTTGTTTATGGCATTTATGGCGACTCAAGGTGGCTCACAGAAATAGCAATTTTAGTCCCATACATTCATAAAAATACAGTTAAAAATGTTCGACTCAATATTAAAAAAACATATATAAACTATTTAAAAACTAGATAGATAGATAGATAGATAGATAGATAGATAGACAGACAGACAGACAGACAGACAGACGGACATACGGACAGACAAGCTTTGGGGAGCATAGAGAAGGGGGAATGTCTTGTTTCCTTTGTTGTTTGTGCTGCTGTTCAGATGATTTCACCTCACTTCCTGTTCCTGTGAGGATTGGATTTTGAAAAATGTGGCTTGTTGTGGAAACAAGGATGGGGGATAAACCTTCAGTGGAGACTACTTTTCCCCATGATATTAACTCTTCCAGGAGTGGATTTCCCTCCCTTCCTTCCAAGGAGATTTCTCTCACTTCCTGTTGTCTCAACCTTGTTCTTAACTAGGAGTTGTATGTAAGTTGGATGTCTGTAACTTGGGGACGGCCTGTAGTCTACAGCCATCCTCCCAATCCGCTATCTCTCCTCCAGCACGCCACCAAGTACTGAATACAGGTTGCTTCTGTCCACTCTCTGACACTCTTTCAGCTTGAACCATTTTGTTGAGGATTCTACCAGTAACTGTCCAAGAAAGTTATGTCTCCAAATTCTGATCCCAATAACCTCTCTTCCGGGGAATCTTATGTTCTGTCTTTTTCAACCATCCAATGATCTCCCCTTCCTTGAAATAATTCTTTTTTATTTCCCCTTGCTGCTCTTTATGCCTGGACTTTCCTCTCAGAATGTCTTTGTGCAACCATTTCCATGATTTCCTGCAGAAATCATAGCAAAACTCACTTTAAAAAAAAAGTCTTTGGATCATCTCAAATACCTGCCAAGCCAAAGTGCTTGTATTGAGACAATCATATGTTTCCCCCTGTTTCCATAGCTTCCCTTTCCCCCCTCTTTATTTATGACTAGTTTATAACTTACGTTTTTTCTCTTGCTTGGCCCAGAATTCTCGCACCCGCTTAAAGATGTTTTTAGTCTCCCTCAAATGTTTTTGCCACTGGCGTAATTCTTGAACTTCAGGATCACAGCGAACCTGGAAAAATTAAAAGGAATGTGTTTGCAAGAAATCCATTTGCTATCAATCCTCCTTTAACACTCAAACCACTCTTGCTTGTGCGCATACAAGAGACCTTTGTCATCCAGTCACATCCCTTACGGCTTTTTACCACTTTAATCGTTCTTTTTACTCACAATATCCACACTGGCCATTTAATGACAGCTGAAGCTAGCTTTAAACTGAAGCAACCAAACAACAAAATCCCACAAAACTGTGCATCGTTGTTCTGTGGTTTGAGTAATCATCTTCTGGACCTCAAAATGATTCCAGGATTTGTATTGTCAAAGGCTTTCATGGCCGGAATCACTGGGTTGTTGTAGGTTTTTTCAGGCAACGATTCCAGAATTTCCTATATAATTCCAGGATTAACTATATAACCTACAACGATTCCAGGATTTCCTATATAATCCTCTGCACAGCAAACCACTTTCTTCAGAACTAGTTTGAAGCTGTCCCCTTTCTTTTTTCCTTGTAAATTCATTGAACAAGGATATTGGTAAAATGATGCCTACAGTTCCACTTAGTTCAGCTACAACTGGGAAAAACAAGGACTTTGACCACTAAATAAGAATTCTGGCCTCCAATGAAGTTGTTGTTTAGTCCTTAAATTTTTATTGCACTGAGAACTAGAGACTATCATCATGGATTTGTATAAAAGGACTCAGGTCACCAGGAGAGACAAACAAGGTGTAGTGTTTAGTTTGCAAATCTTCCTTAGCCAGAATGGTTGCAGAATGCAAAGAGCAATTACCCTTCTGCCAAAAAAACCAAAAAACTAAAAAAACACCAAAACACTTTTCCAGCCTCTGGTTTGAGCATCACTGAATTCAGAGCAAGTCCAAGCTGATGCAGATACTCTAGCAAAACTGGAATCAAACCAAGTAAGCATTCATAAAACAGGGCAGAGGGGGATGAAAACAAAACAAATGACCTTTCAAAAGGAGGCCTTCTGCGCCAAGACCCATACATTAAGGCTTGGAGTCACTGAATTGCATTAGCAAGGGCCATTCTCAGGCGTCCATCATCCATATTAAAACACTCTGGCCCAATCTGTTGTAAAAGAGTAGAGGTAGTGAGTGATTCAAGATGCCATCTGTCAGCCTGATTGATGATCGATTCATTCTTCTCACCTCCCAGAGGCACAGACTGGAGGCAGAGCTGGTTCTAATCCGGGTCATGGTCTGACAGGCACAGCATAAAGCGACCTCAGTGATGCTAAGCAAGCAGCTAGCATCTGGTCAATATTTGAATGAGAATAGTGTTGTCTTGGAACGGCATGCTTGCTGCCTTGAGCTCAAAAATAAAACATCACTGAAATATGAATTAGAGTTGTCACCTGAGTTTTAGTTGATGAATCTATTGCATGAATTTACAAATAGGTAACTAAAACAATTCAATCCCTACCCATAGTGTTGTGAACCTACATTTACTGTATATATTGTCAGCATTATGATGAGCAACGGTGTAGGCTGAGATAGGAACCAGAACTAGGAATTGCAGGTCAGATGGCAATCAACACTGAACTTGACCTTGGAAGGAACTAGCTGCAACAAGTTATGCATTCTTTTTTCCAATAGTGAAGTGATAACTATATCAGTATTATGGATACAACTCAATGTGCAAGTACTTAAATATTCTTTACATCCATGGTAATGAACTAGTTTAGCAGGAGGGGCATATCTGTCAATTCTGTTTCCTCTTTCTTTTGCTTTCCTTTCTCTTCTGTGTGCGATAAAGGATCACTGTCAGACTATAAGAAAGCATTTTACAATCATTTCTGCTAGCTACTTTAGAATCACATACCCAATCACCCAGGAAGAGGTCTGCTTGAACTCAATGTGATTTATTATCATACAGATGTAGAGGACTGTGCTGCATGCTAGCAGTTCTGAATAGGCTTGTACATTTCGGCTGACCCCTGATCTGCTTCTGCTGGTTGGATTCCTGTAGACCCCATATCTGTTTTTGCGCACCTCCTGAAAATGGGCGGGTAGTTGGAAAGCTGCTTTTGGTCCGCAGCTGAAAAATGTGGCTAGATCTGGCCCACTGACAGCAATGGGGAACTTACGAAGTTTCCCTTTCTGTTCCTGGGACCCTTTCCTTTTTTTCCCCTTCAAGGGAGCCTGGGTTTCAGCATTGGGGTTAAGGAAGCAGACACAGCTTACATAAGACACATCAAGACAATCTTCAATTCCAATTGGCCCAACAGGCAGGGATCACAGGGAAACGATGTGCGAGCAGCACGCAGCAGCCTCTTTGCGCGCCTCATGATGCCGAATAGGGGAGGAGAAGCCATGATCAGCTGTCGTCCCATTATGGACAGGAAAACGTGATGGCTGGGCCCTTGCCGTTACAGCCATCTGAACATGCCGGATTAGCTGAAGGGAACTGACCACTCCGAGTCCATGCACAAGCCTACTTCTGAATGCAGACTCAATCCAAACCACACAATCCATATTTTGCTGATCACAAACACCATTCTGAAGGAAGGGCTATTTTTTTAGAGTCATTGCTGTTCATTCTAACCAGGATGTAACTGTGATTTTAAAGAGGTTGAAGAAGCAGATTCATCTGGGTATGCCCAACATCATCACAGCATGACAAACGTGCTAATTCGCCTTGAGTCCCTCCAGGGAGATAGAGCAGAACGTAAATAAAGCATTATTATTATTATTATTATTATTCAAAAAAGAAAGGGAAAACAAGAAAATGGCCTAAACCTGGATGTATTCACCATATACCAAGCTCTTGAAAGAGGCAGTGAACAAGAACCTGCTACAGTGAGATGGTCATCATCATCAACCAATGGCCCAACAAGTTCAGTCCAGGATGGACAATGATCCATAGTGTGTGTTGTGGTTTATGCAACCCTCTTTTGATAGTGAAGGCAGTTCAACAATAGAGCCAAATGTCCAGGCTGCGCTGGCCCTTTTCAAGCAAAGAGTGGGCAGTCATCTGTTGTGGATGTTCTAGCTCCAGACTTTCTAAAAAGAGATGGCTATGGGGTTATGCATACTACGCAGTCTCTTTTACCTCTACAACTCTACAGTTTAAAGTTGTATCCAAATTCCTTTCTGCTTAATGGAGCAATTTGGAAGGAAAGTAAGCTCACATAAGACATGTTTTCATGATGCTACAAGGGTGGTTCCTAAACCTGGGTACAAATATCTGGGCGCACTCAATTCCCAGATTTTTTGACCAAGATTTCCAAAAAGTGTCACATGCTCAAACATGAGGAACAAACATTTTATCAGGCCTTTCTTTGTGTGCTCAACAAGCAAAATGTATGTCAGGGCCCTTCCAGACAGGCCTATGTCCAAGGATCTGATCCGGGGTTTTCTGTTTATCCCAGATTATCTGGCAGTGCAGATTCATATAATCCAGTTTAAAGCAGAAAACCTGGGATCAGATCCTGGGATATAGGGACTGTCTGGAAGGGCCCGCAGAGAGGGAAAGAGGAAGTTCTTCACCCTTGATTATGCCAGGTCCTCTTACTGTGTCATGAAAAAATAAGCAGAGGACTACCTTGTGACCTCCTTGGTGACAGTTCTCAAATCACAAGGCAACCTTTTACACAAAAACTGTTAAACCATGCGTGTCTTCATAGATATTTATAGCACCTGCTACTTAAAATGTATGTAAGGGGTTTTCCCCAAGACATCTGCAATCGCAAAGATTCAACATCAAGCAAAATAATTACAGTTGACTCCTACCCGATAACCTCTCCAGAATGATTGAATTATGTTGCTTGCTTCTTCTTCGGACAGCAGCAGAGAGAGTGCAATTGGTGGTCTAGGACTAAAGCAAATGTGCGTGTTAATTGTGCATCTTTGACAACTTTGACAAAGGTATATCTATCCCTCTCCCCTCCCCAGCTGCTTTGCCATCTCACTTAGGGATGATGAGAAGTATAGTTCAGCACATTCAGAGGGTACCAGGCTGATGGAGATGGTACTTTCATTGGAGAGTGAAAGTAACTGACAACATTCAATTAACAACTAAAATGTCCCGTGCCTCAGTGTCTCTCTCTCTCTCGCACACACACACACACAGTGACACACATTTATTTAGGCTTGCATGTACATTTGCAAAATTCTAAGCAGATTGATAGCCAGATAGAACTATGATGGAATCAGTCAATTAACGTTGCTTGACATTGCAACACATAATTTTATTTAATTCTTAATAAGAACTATATAGCCATTTGTAAAAAAAGATTACAGTAGTTTTCCAACCCTAAATGCAATACAAACTAATTATTCTGGGAGCAATGTGTCTGCCCTTATGTTTAAAGAGACTTAGTCAGAGTAGGCCGTTCTGAAAACTGCACTTCAAGATGAAGGGCTAAGGTTGACACTCAGGCAGGCAATGGGAGCAACATGAAAATTAAACACAATGGTTTGGTTGTGTGTGTGTGTTTTTACACAGAATGGAGTTGGGGAGGGGTAGTATATCATATTTCCCAAAAGAGAGAAGGAAGATAAGGCAAAAGGGAAGGAAGGAAGGAAGGAAGGAAGGAGAAAAAGAAAGAAGGAAAGGGGGAATGGAGGAAAGACGAAAAGGAGGAAGGATGGAAGTAAGGGTGGAAGGGAATGGAGGGAGAGAGGGCAGGAGGGAGGAAAGGGAGGAAAGAGAGAAGGAAGAAAAGACAAAAGGGAAGGAAGGAAGGAGAGAGGTAAGGAAAGAGAAAGAGAGGGAAGGAGGGAGGGAAGAGAGAGGGAAGGATGAAAGGGTGGAAGGGAAGGAGGAGGGAAAGAGAGAAGGAAGAAGGAAAGAAAGAGGGAAGGAAGGTGAAAGGATGGAAGGGAAGGAAGGAGGGAGGAAAGAGAGAGGGAAGAATAGGATGGCGAGAGAGAGGAGGGCCTGAGAAAAGAGCCCAAGGGGCCATATCTGGCCTCCAGGCCTGGGTCTGCCCATAACTGACCTATACCTTACATATATTTGAGTATGCTTTTAAAAAATCCGAACAGCTCATATATTTTCTATCTCTAGCGGTGAGAAGTGGTGGCATCATGATGTAAGTTTAGAGACTTTACCAGATGGCTCTGCCCATGATATTTTGAACTGTATCATAAAATAAAGAAGGCAGCTGTTAAGAACGCTCTTGTGAAATTAGCTATGGCCACCTTCATATCCTTCGATTTTAAATCAGAAGGATCTGTCAGGGGTTTGGTACAGGACGAAAGTAGAAAAGGTATGCATAACTCTAGTCCAGTGCAAAAGATCTAAATGTTCAGGAAGCAAGCAGAGAGGAGAGATCACTGGGAGATTTCAATCATCTTGACAGGCCGCTGTGAAGGAGCCAAAGTCATGCCAGGTCCATTTTGGTCTGGAGGAATATCAGTAATTGGCTTCAGGTCAAATAAAAATAGCACATGAGCAGAAGTAATAGCCCATCAACAGCAAACTGAGGAAGAGGGAATATATTTGTGGCAAGAGACAGCTGCAATGCTACAAGATGAATCAGAGCTGACAACCAAATGCACACAGGCTGTACGCAGTGCGTTTATGTCCAAATTAAATATTATTGACTGAATGTCAATCAACATATACAGCACAACAACAACAACTTTATTGTTGTTGTAGTAGTATATAGCAAAGATGCTTCCGCTGGTCATAAAAAAAGTCCTGGAATTATTTTCCATCTCATTTACTGTTGATTATATTGGACTTTTTAAAATAAGTTTCACCACTGTGGAACAGAACTGCAATCCACTTGTGCCTTGCTTTTGAGGCTTAATTATGCAAATTAAGCCTCAAATTAACAACATTATGCAAATGTCTGGCCACAGAGAAAACAGCCACTTTTCTGAGCTGGAAAATATTGCATTTTGCAAACCTTGGTTTTTAGATTGCACATGGAAGTTGTTGTTTGGAGAACTTGGGTTCTGTAACTTCATTTCTTCCCATGACGTCTTCGAGACAGTCCTGAGCACTTAACATTCATAACAATCCTGCTATATATTCTTGGTATTTCCATTAGTCCTAAAGCACTGGCTATTTCTTGAAGGTATCCTTGTACAATCCCAGACACGCAGGTCATGAGTTATTAAAAGGCAGGTGAAATGGAGACACTTGTTGGCAAACTAAGGAACTGCCCTGGAATGGCACAGTGATGCATTCTGGAGAACAGGTCCTCCCCGTGATCCTCCAATGCTCGTGATCCCCCAGTGTCATGCATCAAGACACAGGCAAGCATCTTGATGCCTGACAATAAACCAGTTCCTTGAGTTTCCATCTTCACTATGATTATTGGGAATCCCAATTAAGACACCCAACCAACGCAATGCTGAAACTCAGCAGGCCAGTGTCTGGTCAGTTCTTGACTGAGTTACTAGCTGGACAGTCCATGCATATTCCTCAAGTTCCATGATAAAGGGAAAAAAGCAGCCTATGAATGTCACAGAGAACAAGGTTTGAGACGGTCCCTGCCAGAGGCAAATTTAAAACAAAGGGCATGGCAAGTTAGCAGAGACTATGTCTGTTAAGGTGCCATGGTGAAATATGATGTATGGTTTGAATGGAATTGTATAAAAGATAAATGAATGAGAACTAATAATTTAGGAGACATCACTCTGAAGATTAAGGTCTAGAAAACAACTACACTCAGGAACTGTAATTAAAAGTTGCTGAAATGCTGACAGTTGATGACCTGCAACAATGATTAACTGTTGAACTTTTGGGGAGAAACAATGTGTTTACATTAATCAGAGACAATGGCTCTTTAAGTTAAGAAAATGTTTACAAGGTTCTTTTCCTTAAGAAGGAAGTCAACACAAACCTTGTGTTTACCAACACCAATTATGAAGAGTCAATATCTGCCAGGGAACTGAGATGAAGCAGGATGTTTCAGGCTGGAAAAACATCTATTATTCATTTACAACTTAGCAGAAATATTGCTATATAAGAGACCTTATTACATTCCAAAAATTGTGACAGACAGTGGTGCTATTCACCCGCCATGCTCTATTGAAAGAGATACTGTATTTGGAGAGTGTCAGATCTGCTATGGGAAAGCAGGATTCTGGTCACTTGCTCCTTTTCTCAAGGAAAAAGAAAGGAGTGCAATTTTGGAGTCATGGTCTTAGGGAAAGAGGATGCATTTTGATGTTTTAGAAGTTTTGGAGTTTTGGCATTTTGGAAGTTTTGAAACTGCGCATTGGCAGGCTGCAGGAAAAGCAGAGTCTAGCCTTTTCCAGGAGATAGGGGAAATTATGATGTATGCATGAGGATGAATGAATGTGTATATGGTTAATGTTAATGCTGAGTAAAACTGTAATTCCCTTTTTGTTTGTTAGTCAGCCAATGTAATTGTAAGTTGTTTGTGAATTCAATGTAGTCACATAGAATCTGTATGTCTGTATGTCTAAATGTTGTAAAAGTGTAAAAGTTCTGATATCCTTTCTTACTGGAAAATTATAATAGTTTAGCATAATGTATTGTCGAAGGCTTTCATGGCTGGAATCACTAGGTTCTTGTGGGTTTTTTCGGGCTATAGAGCCATGTTCTAGAGGCATTTCTCTTGACGTTTCGCCTGCATCTATGGCAAGCATCCTCAGAGGTTGTGAGGTCTGTTGGAAGTAGGAAAAATGGGTTTATATATCTGTGGAATGGCTGGGGTGGGGCAAGAGCTCTTCCCTGCTGCAGTTAGGTGTGAATGTTTAGCTGATCACCTTCATTAGCATTTGAAGGCCTGCCTGAGCCTGGGAAAATCTGTTGCTGGGAGGTGTTAATCTGTGCCTGTTTTTTTCCTCTCTGTTGTTTTGCTGTTGTAATTTTAGAGTTTTTAATACTGGTAGCCAGATTTTGTTCATTTTCATGGATTCCCTCCTTTCTGTTGAAATTGTCCACATGCTTGTGGATTTCAATGGCTTCTCTGTGTAGTCTGACATGGTGGTTGTGAGAGTGGTCCAGCATTTCTGTGTTCTCAAATAATATGCTGTGTCCAGGCTGGTTCATCGGGTGCTCTGCTATGGCTGACTTCTCTGGTTGAAGTAGTCTGCAGTGCCTTTCATGTTCCTTGATGCGTGTCTGGGCGCTGCGTTTGGTGGTCCCTATGTAGACTTGTCCACAGCTGCATGGTATACGGTAGACTCCTGCAGAGGTGAGAGGATCCCTCTTGTCCTTTGCTGAACGTAGCATTTGTTGGATTTTCTTGGTGGGTTTGTAGATTGTTTGTATGTTGTGTTTCCTCATCAGCTTCCCTATGCGATCAGTGGTTCCCTTGATGTATGGCAGGAACACTTTTCCTCTGGGTGGATCTTCATCTTTACTCTCGTGGCTTGTTCTTGGTCTTGCAGCTCTTCTGATGTCTGAGTGGAGTATCCATTGGCCTGGAGAGCCCAGTTGAGGTGGTTCAGTTCATCTTGGAGGAGGTGGGGTTCGCAGATTCTTTTTGCACGGTCTGCCAAGGCTTTAATGGTGCTTCTTTTTTGACTTGGGTGATGGTTGGAGTTTTTATGTAGATATCTAGATTATGTAGATATCTATCTAGTTTTTTTGTAGATATCTTTTATGTAGATATCTAGTTTAGCATAATCTTCATTTAAATGAGACCTCCATATTCAGAAATAATATATCACCAGGTAGAGCAAGAGAAGATTATTATTGAGCTCCTCAAGAGCATATGGCCAACCTGTACTAACCCAACAAAGTGAATCAAATTCTTATGTCTTTTCATTTTTTTCTCCCTTAAAGATGAAGTTATTCGATCTTAGGAGTTGGGTCTTTCTCTCTCTACCACCTTCCTTTTCTTATTCTTTTTTTCTTTTGCAGGGAGGACTGCCTTGGCAAAAGCT